TATGTGCGGTGCTGATTTTTCCTATGATTTATATTTAGCAGTACTAAAGATCCCTGGTTCCTTTTTAAAAACAATGTCATTTTAAAGGAATAATTGTAGAGCTTCTGCAACTTCATGTATAGATTTAAAAGTGAAGCATGGGAATCGAAAAAACAAACGTCTATACTCACCTACCTGCTGTAGCATCAGTCTGATCCTGCAGCTGTCCCCTACTGGCTCTAAGCCTGAGCGATTACATGACCACTGCATGTTGAGCTCAAGGTTTTCAATGAGCAGAGAGCAGTGACTGTCAGTCGCTCTTTTTCTACTCTTGCTCTTTCCTTACAGCAGGTGGGGGTGGCGACTGGGCCAGCTGGCTCTGGCTCTCAGCCTCGTGCTAAGAGACTGAGCCTACTGTCAATCAGGTTGAGATCCTTCCAGAGCCTTGAGTGGCTCTGTGACACTTTAGCCCACTATTGGCTGTTTCTAGGTCACAGGATAGCATATGTGCGTTCATGTGACCAAGAAGAGAAATATGGCCAATACAGCTTTGGCTATACTTCTCTTTTAAGACATCCCCCAAACATGTTACTTTAAGGCTTGCTGGATGCACAGTAAAAAAAAAAGGTGTCCCTCAAACTTTTTTGAAAATGTTGGCAAGTATGAATTAGCCATTACAATGATTTGTGGATGGTGGAGTCTCCATTGCCGGCTGTTTTATTTAGGCATCTGTGGCACCTGAATACCTAAAGAGTGACTGTATTTGATAGGATGCAATCACTTTTTGGCCAATAAGTTTCCATCCAACTCAGTCATTTTTTTAAAATAAACCTAAGGCTTGATGTTTGGCTGATTCAACAGAAATATGGTGAAATCTAAATCATCTATAGGAACCTTAATTGTTAAATGACTGTAGTGATAGCAGATGACAGACACATAGAGCAAGCACTGTTTTAAAATAGTTGGGTGTCTCCTAGACTAGCATTGTAAGAAGAAAAGCAGAACTGTTTTATTTCAGTTTGTGATCAGTTTCTCAAACTTTGCTCAATGTTTGAACAAGATTTGCAGCAAACCCCGTAGAATTCTATAGGGTTAATCTTGTTACTTAATTCTGTCCATTTGTGGGGCTAATAAGCAACCTATTGTCAAACAAAAGGCATGGGAAGGTGGGCACTGCCACTGGGAACATTTCAAAAAGTAAATGCAAATATATCTATCCATTTATCAATTTATAAAATACAAAAAAAATCCTAAAAAAAAGAGTATTTTTCCACATAATTGTCAACTCTCCCTTACAGCTTCAGCACACACTGACAATATGGCGGCTGCAAGCCCACATTTTTTATTGTAGGGCTGAGCTATCCATTGCTTAAGATTAGTGACTCTTGTGGCACAGCTGATCGGCAGCAAAGGCTATACACTGCATTATAGGCTGTTGCTTATTTCTGGAGCACTTACCCCACTCCATGGATTGCCAACAGGAGTTCTGTTTTCACTGGAACAGTAGTAAAGAAATGACGCTTTTGGAAATAATGGGATACTATAAAAACATTTATTGCTATGACATTTACAGTTTACAATAAGAACTTTTTTACAGAGCACATATATATGCTCACATCCAGTAAGCCTATGCTGGTCTCATAACAAGTACATTCCAGGGACCATATAGTGAAGCACATTCTGCCTGAGCTGTGACAATATATAAGCTGACAAATCAGAAATCTGTATTACACAATAACATGTTTTAAACATTTCTTGGTGACACAATTGTTCTACAGATAATATTTTTATTGCAGCGTTACATCATTTATCAAGAGATAACAGAAGGAGCACACTATGAAGAATATCACTAGTTGTTTTTTAAAGACTCTCCAATTAAAATACTGCTACAAGATGTAGAAACAACAGTATCACGGCATTCAAAATAAAATACTATTTTTTTTATTGGAAGCTGCTTATTGTATAAGTATTTGGCAACATCAGCAGGAAGACTTCAACGGACTTCTGCATAATCTCTTACACCTATTTAATTATCATATTAATAATAATGCTTAAGCAAGTTTTGACATTTATAAGTTAATGAACTTTTATGAAAGGTTTTCATAAGAAACACATAAAAATATACTCTGTATATGTCATGCAGATGTGACATGTTTATATATATATATATATCTATATAAATCTGTGTGACAAATGAAGTTAATAATTTCACAAGAATAATGTTTTATAAATAAAGTTACATTTTAAATGAATTAAAAAAAATGGCACAACCTTAGACATAAAAGTAATGTGGACATCTTTCTGTGAATAGCACCAATGACAAACTGGTACCCAATCATAAAAGGTGGAAAAATTGTAGATCTTTATCACAGCAGCTAATTTTAGGTGTTGTGTAGAATTTAATGCAAATCTAACAATAGAGATATAACTATGAGACACACTACCTTTTTGGCTCCAGTTCTTCAAAAATATCTCCACTGTAACATTACGTTAATGTTTTTATACATATATAATATATATATATATATATATATATATATATATGCTAAAATGCGGGTTCAATGACGGGAAAAAGCATTATCCATAGCTATCAGAGGTTTCAAATTTTCAACTCCTATTAGAAAAATGACAGCTGCAGTCCGGTGGTTATGGATAACACTTCCACTGTACTACTTTTCATACTTTATGATTATAATATCTAATGAAAATTAGAAAGATAGTCTGATGGACTTTGACTGCTTAAAGTGACTAACAATTGTAAGTAAAAAAAGTCCTTTAGTTTGCTTACTAAAAGGGCAAAGTGCATTGGTATATAAAGTAAATGTGTAACCACTTTGAATGCCAAATCACGTTCGAGAGAAATTAAAATAAAGAAGGGTTTCTAGCTTGGGCATTCGATGTAAATACAGGTTTTCCTTGTCTACTAACAATCTGTTTGCTGCTGAGAAAACAGCCTTTATCCTCAATGTCTGATGTGATCTTGCTGGGTTCATCATAAATCATAAGTAATATCTCTTTTGTCAACACTATCACTGCATTTTTCACTGGAACTGTACGCTTATACTTAGGGTAGGCAGGGTCTCAGAGGTACCTGCATCTAAAACACTCACTCACTAACCACCCATTTTTCTGCTAGCTATGTAATCTTTGTCCCACTACTTTAACTATTTGGTGCCAGCCTAGTAAGTGTATTTTTAAAGGTGGTAAATCATTGCAAGGATGGGAAAGTCTGAGGAGCAAGAATAGAAGGAGCCATACATGCAAGTTATTTTCTATGTCTATTGAAAGCCTTAGGTTGAGCTTGGTCATGTTCCTTGTACTTCACTATAGGCCAATAGTTATGATTGATGGTTTCACTTAACAAAAGTACAGCACTGGAGGTAGGAGAGGTGGAATAAAGCACAGATTTATAAACTAAATTTCAGATTCGCATATTAGAGTGTCCTGAATTTAGGGGCTCCCATGGGCGCCTGCCTCAAAGTAAAATTAACAGGTCTAAATGTTTATTATACTTTATACCCACTCATCAATTAATTGCTCTCTTGGAGCCAATTAGCTTTTTCACTGCCACACAATTCAAGCTTGAACTCCCATACAAAGCTCTTAATTTGTTTCCAGACTAGCTCACAGTATTCTAGTATTATCAGATTTGGTTTTTTAATGAAAGAAAAAAATTACTTGCTTTCTGAAGCCAAAGACTACAGACCTTACCATTCCATCTTGTCTGATGAATGGAATGGTTTTCTAGGTGCAGTATCCATACAGGTTTGTTTTAAGGCTTTGGTGGCTTTGTGTCTCAAAGTTCAGATAATATAAATCCTGACCCTTTAGCTCAGAGGTCTCCAAACTGTAGCCCATGGGCTGGATACAGCCCTTTGCTTGCTTTATTCGGCCCTCGGGGCACTATTCTTCCCACTGATACAAGACATCAACAATGGGGCATTATATCTTTCATTGGTAGCAAGGATGGAGCATTATTCCTCCCTCTAATACCAAAGATGCACTGTGTACTCCCACTGATGTCAGGACAATTTCCACTCCCACAGGCCACAGTTTGCCTTTTGGTTAAAATTTGGAGACCCCATGCTTTAGTTGATGGTGCTGCTTTGGCTGAAGGTGCACTGGAGAGGTGCAGGGCCTTTAGATATCTGTAGCAGTTCTATTTCACAGTATAACATACTAAGGCAAGCCATAAATTATACAATGTACTGTCCTTCCACTATGAGTGGAAGGAAAGAAAATTGATCATTTCCCCCATCAACGTCCCCATCAGAGTTGATGGGGGAATTCCTCTCGCAGTGATATTGTGCTCTGCCGGCAGGCAGCCTTCCCTGCTTGCAGAACAAAATGATTACTGCTAACTGTAATTTGCTGCCAGCAGTGATTGAATGCAAAAAATCTAACAGGCTGGTTGTACTGAAGTTGATTGATGGATTAACTTCAGTACAAAAAGTCTGCCCATAGATGGATCAAATTTTTTCCGATCCATGCTGAACTGGCTGATATTTGATCCATCTATGGCTGGCTTTAGGGTTGCTTCACAGTGCATAAATGATTCACTTTGGGGGGGGGTATTTTGATTTTTAAGCATTGCTATGTCTTTTTAGATTATTATCTAAAGTAAGGTTTTATGTTTATGAAAAGACACTGATGATACAGTGGAAAGATAGTGCAGCCCATTTACCCTAAACCTATTATTAAACAACATTTTGTTTATTTTATTGTTATGCAAATAGCTATCATAATGACGTTTTGGGTCAGCAGCTGTGTGGTTGAATTGACAATGTCTGAAAAATACAGTGGATTTAAATTTAAATGTTAAAATTTAAGGGAATTCTTTTTTGGATCTGTAAAGCTAGTTCTTGTGTGCAGTTAAAATTATTTCTGTGAAATACAAGTCATTCATAAGAGAGATGTTTGACTGAAGAAAAATGTCAAATCAAAGGAAGACAAGATTATCATTTACACCAGTATTGATTTTCTACACAATATAGTACATACAAATGATACAGTAAAATAGTTTATTTCGTTTTGTTGAAATGTGAATCAAAATGTGAATCTTCGAGAGTCTTTTTTTGGCGCCAAGTCTTGGTCAGCAGATCTTGATCAGAAGCTTCGAGGAAGTAACAGATGCCAGGAATGTCTGATGGAAAGTTTGGTGGAAGATCTTCTCTAGACCGAGAGATGAAATTGAACCCTTTGTAATCCTTAAGCAAACTGCAAAAATATTGTAAACAAAAATGTAAATATAAAATAGCAATACGCAATGTTACCAAATATAAGAATAACATTTTTTTTTCATATATTGTGGCCAAGCAACCACCAGTGGTGGAATTACCAGGGGGCAAACCTGTGGCTCTACTCAAGTAATGCAAGCACTTTCTGTCCTGTTGTTTTCTTTGTATATCCTCTAAAGCTTTGGAGTGCATACATAAAGTGGAAACATAGCTAACTATGATAAAACATGCAGTTTGTAAACTCTTGGCAGCAATCCCCTCACCAGCCTAGAAAAGATACTGCAAATTCCTGTATGATAATAGAAAAAGTGTTGTGTATCATTGGCACTGACCACTTTTCATCTATGTTTAAGAATTAGAAGGTATTTTGACATTTCTAACTTGATAGTTTGTCTTTCACTTTTCTAGGCAGTGGTAGGAGATGGGGGCTGTACCACCTCAAAGCAAACATGGACAGCAATATACAGTATGAAGAAGTTGCCACACACAAATGGGTAAACATTTAAACAAGTGACTACCTGTACAGAACTTTTGACTCAATACAAACATGTACAGGTTCAGGAACACTTGTCAGCAGTGCACACCAAATGTTCCTTTCAGACTCTGTATATGAAGACTGACATGCAATTTTTCCTTTAAATGAAGTATGTATAGATTAAAGCAGCCTTTCTAAACTAGAGTTCTGTGCAGAGTTCCTATAAAGGTTTTAGGGGTTCCTTGAGCAATTAGCAATTTTTGCCTCTCAGATTGGTAACTGCTTACCCCAGTGATCTTTGTAACTCTCAGTAATCTATCCCACTGGCCATAAATATAAGAAACATTCTTCCCACTGACTATCACACTAATTAATGGTTAGCTATAGATATAGTAATTATTAGCATATCTTTGCTAAGATGAGAAACTTATTTTATATGTTACTTTGTGTTAACAAGGTTGACAAAAGCTGGATCAGAGGTAGACACTTGCATTAGTGTATTGCAGTTGTCTCCATATTGTGGCCTGGGGACTGGATGTGACCCTTTGCTTGCCTTTATCAGGCCCTTGGGGCACTATTCCTTCAACTGACACCAAACAATGGGGCACTATTCCTCCCACTGACACCAACAAGGGGCACTATTTCTCCCACTGACACCAAAGACAGGACACTATCCCTCCAACAGACACCAATGATGGGGTACCATTCCTTCCATCAATACCAACAATGGGGCACTATTCCACTCACAGACACCAATGATGGGGAATTGTTTACTCCCATTGATGTTGGGCATTTTCTACTTAACTGTCCACAGTCCAGCCCCCTCAAAGTCTGAAGAACAGTAAACTGGCCCTTTGTTTACAGTTTGGAGACCCCTGGTATATACTATATGACCAGTGGTGCGTATCTAGCAGAACAGATTGAGAATCTGGTGACCCTCTTTGCCTAGGTTAACTCTCTGTGTGTGACAGGAATATGCAAAAAATCACACATTTTTTGACAGGCACAGAAATGCATTGCCCTTTAGAGATTATGCCATGGTGCAATTAACTCTTAACTGCAAAACAGTAGCTGCTAATGCATACATGTTCACGTGCGGCAAATTGGCACATTTTGGTGCGGTAGATTTTGAAAAAGGGTCAGGGACTTCTTTTGTGTGTTTCTAATGCATAGGGCAGTCCTTTGAAATGAATGGGCTCCCCTACACATGAGATATGGGAATACTGTACACATATACTTTGTCACACCTACATGGTGTCAACAGAGCCTTACTTATGGATATACCATACACTGTAATTTGCTGTAGTGTTTGTCCCAAACTAAGACTATCCCTGTGTCCTTTGATGTCCATTTGTAGATAACCCAATGTGAATTTCCTTCATAATTCTAATAAAATAATACACATATTGATATGTACAAGTATGTTCTGCATTGCTGTGCATTTTATTTGTTTTTTTGTTACTGAAGCTCGGTATACATGTAGAGTTGTTTTTTGTTCAACAAGCAGGATGAATGAAGAAAAAAACCTCACAGAACCTTGTATCCATGCAAACAATGAGGATGCATGGATCTCCACCGTTGCGCTATTTTATTCTGACAGCAGGACCGTTCCACAGAAACTGGCTTCTGTTGAACAGACAGGGCTACACACTGAACGTGGTGAACCAGCTGAATTTTGAGATGTGTATACCCAGTTTACGATTCTTTATATTCTTTGAATACCACTTCCCTGTCTTTCTTGTGACAACTGCTGACATAAGACAACAATTATTCGACTTGCATTTTTAGAAGAAGTGATGAAACAACTTCATTACGGTTGATTTACTAATGGTGTTTTGGATGAATATTTTGCAGAGTGAATGTTAGTGAATAAAGTAAACCTGCGATGACTTTGACTACCCAATTATGTGTGGGGGAAATGAAAAAGCAGTGTTTTTGCTAGCGCATGATTGGTTACGTCGTCATTAAATCAACCCTAGCACTGTAGCACTGCTAAGCAGGATCTGCTTATATAATGAGCAAATTTGGCTGCCCCTATGTGAACATATAATTAAAAATACACAACGAAATGATGTTTAGAACACACATGGTTATTTTCATCAAGATGATCTTTTCCACATTTATATAAAGAAAAAATATAATTATCGATTGATGTATACTGTGTTCTAAAGAAGTTCATTAATGATTTTTCATTGCAAAATAATTATTTCTTCAGAGATAAAGCTCTTATGTAACCTGGTTATGGTACATTTTTATTTCAGTCATGTTAGTTTTATTAGTTTTAGCTTTAACAGGGAAGAGGAAGTTACTGCTGTACAAAGTGTATTATCAAATAAAAAAATATTAAAACACGGTATAAAATCTTACTGTAGCATGATATTTTCATACACAAATGAACTGTTTGAATAGATAAACAGGTTGTACTAACACCTGACTGGCAGTCTTGTAGATATGAACAATAAAATGAATATAGTAAATTTAGGAAGTGAACCAATGAAGGCCTGGGACGTACAGTACATATAAAATCAAGTGAAACCTTGTGCATCCTTTGGGATATTTACAGACAGGGACTGGAAATATTTTATTTTGATACAGAATCATTCCACTTTTGAACCAATATACCAATGATGTTGTCAGACTTCTCAGGATTACCACCCCACCCCCCTCATGTCATTCCTGTTGCAGCGGGGATTGTTTCACTAATCCTGCTACATTTAAATGAAAATTAAATAAAGGATTAAACAAATTAAATATATGAATAGCCAGTGATGAGAATAAGTGAGGCTCCTTTGGTTCTGATAGAGGGCAGCAGGGGTCTTCAAGAGACAAAAGAATCCAGTAGCTTGTAAGATTGAGAAATCAGTACTGGGCAGGCTGATCTTTATTATTTCTTAAAGTGGTACTAAACCCAGGACCCTACATTCACTATATCTGGTCTCCCACAGTACACAGAACATGGAAATGCAATTATTTTAGTAAATATAAACTACTAAATACCTTTTCTTATCAGCAGTTAGAGCAGTCAGAGCAGTCTTGTGACTTCTATCAGTGTCCAGCAGAGCACTAGTTAAAGCTTGTAGGATGAGTTTTATCTAGAAGCATGTAGAACCCCTGATCTCTGTCTGGACAGTGCTGATTGGCCCTGTGCTAAGCACATGCACTCTCCCAAAAAAAAAAAAAACCTCTCTAGCAATACACACCATACTGAGAATGTGCAGTGTATCCACACAAGATGTCTTATCAGGAGATAAGAGGGAGACACTGGAAGAAGGGGAGGATCAGAGAAGTCAGGATCAAACATCCTTTTCACACAATGCAGAGAATTAACCCCTTAGGTTTAACAGGGAGTATAACAAGCATGCTTCACTGCATATACAGACTGATTTTACTGTTGTGGGTTTAGTAACACTTTAAGTCCTCCATCACTTTCCGCAAATTTCTTGGAAAACTGAAGAGGAAAATGAAATCTGAACCTGTGCAGCTGCCTAACATTGTATTATCATGGGAATCACTGGCTGCGTTCTATATAGCCAATCAGATTAGAGTTAAACTTACTATTGCAGTACAAAAAAAATTCCTCCAGGTTAACTATATACTGAAAAGATTTAATTAAAAAATGTAGATCTTTGCCTTCTTCTGTTTTGTACATAATAAAGTAAGAATGTACTGTATCCATTAAATTTTTTTCTGGTTGTGGATAGAGTGGGGAAGAGTTAGTACCCCTGTCTCAGCTTAACCCCTTCCAGTTGTCACCTCTTGGCTCTTTAAGTGGATCTAAATGCCGGGAGGCGGGCATTCCCATCATGTGACCACTGTGATTAGAAGTCACAGCAGTCACATGATCGGAAAGCTCCGGTTGCAATTATGTATCTGTAGCTTTCCAATACCCTTTTGTTACTGTGCTGGGAGTGGGCTCTCAGCACAGTAAAGTGTTTACCTAGGACCGCATATATGCAGCCCCTCTGTGTTAAAGCCCACCTGCCGAGAGGCCGTATATATGTGCCAGGTTGGCAGAAAGTGGTTAAATGCTGTTTGTGTCTATTTTGAAATGATTCATCCCTCTATATTTGCCCTGGTGACCACTGTCACAGAGACAGAAAGTGTCAGGACATTTTACAGTTGTCACCGGAACAGGAGGTTAGAGGATATCCTCCAATGTAGCCAACTGTGACTACTGAAGAGGGGATCTCCCCTTGCTTTGGAGAGATTTTATTGCAATTCCTATCTCTGGGAGAGAACTGATGGGACATGTCCCCAGTAGAGCATAGACAGAAAAACATGTAAAAAATAAACAGAGCTTTAACTAGTCTCTATTTTATGCCATTTCACTTGCTGAAATATCTTAAAGGATAACTCGGTGGTTTTGCCATAATCATATAGTGTTGTGATAAAAAAAAACACTGTACATTCAAACACATAAGATGAAACTCTGTATAGTAAACCTAAAAACACTGCTGGAGATGCCATATTCTATGTAACAAGTTGTTGGTCTTGCAATAAAAGCTTGAAATATTACTATATTGTTTTCTTTTACCTGTATGTAGTAGGACTGATATTGATATTCCTTGGCTCACTGCATGACTCAAATTTATTGGCAAGAGTGACATTGTTTCCAAAAAGGCAATAGCGTGGCATTTTTACTCCTACGACCCCAGCAAACACTGAACCAGAATGCAGCCCAATACGCATCTATTGAAGATAAAAAAAAATACATTTGCAAAAGCATTTTTAAAAGTCTCACTTGCTGTGTTGGTATTTCCTATTTAGGTTTTTAAAGAGGTTTTCTAATTTTGCAGTAGTTTTAACTCAACTACAGCACAGATGGTCTTTTGCAAAACTGTTTAGCCTGAAATGTAATAAATGCATCAGTTTAATTTAATTTCTGTCTTGCTGCCTGCAGGAAGATCCATCTTTGAGCTATGAATATCTGACCTTGGGAGGGAGGGTCCAGAAGGTGTGGCTAGGGAAAAGATAAATGTTTGGGAGGGCCTGTTTAGAGGTCTTGTCTCCTGGGGCCTCTTCCCCTGGAAGCCAACCTGTGTTACTGAAGATCTCTTAGGCCTCATCATGTCCTTGGATTAGGGTTTGAAAAACATCTGCTGGAGGACAATGCCTTAGAAAGCTGGCCTCGAGAAGGACCCCTTTCACCAAAGTGTCATAGAGAAGATGGCTCGAGAGTTGTCTCTGGACATTGTGAGTAGAACATTTTGTCCAGAGTTTTAGTTGTGCCTTTGCTTTGACTAGTAGACACCAGAAGCTGCTACATGGACTGTGATTGGTTTTATTGAGTCTCAGATTGACTGACTGTTCCCTCTACCTCCAGCAATATTTAAAGAATATGTAAACCCAACATTTCATACTCCTGATATGTGTCTGCAATACCATGTACTTGTTTGAAAATGTATCCTGTTCTCTTTGCAATGCTTCCTTTGTGTGAAAGCCTTGGTGTTCTTGCCAGTCCCTCTGCTTGCCTATTAAAAACTGACCACACAAGGACATCACAGTGTGGTCAGTGTTCTGGCTGTGCTGGGAACTCAGCCTGCTCTCCGCCACTGATCAGACTTGTGCTGACACACCCTCTCCCCCTGCAAAGCCGTTCACTGGGAAGATCAGTATGCTGACTTTTCTCCTGCAGAATGTATGTGATCACTTAAAAAAAAGGGAAAACATATTTATAAAGTTTTTTTTATGGTTATATGCAAATGCCTTTTATTTTTATTTTAAACTGAATGGTCTATTTTACAAGGTGAAAGTTAGAATATATTTTAAGACTGAAATTGAGGGACTTTGCTTGAGAATCTGTCTTCCTGTACCTGCTTGTGTTAGGAGTATCCTGCACCCTCATCCCTCTACCCACCTGTGTTCAACTAGTACAGTAAATCTCAAAAAGACACGCATAAACTGCGCCTGTGTTTGTCAGTGTGCTTTGGAACTTGCATCTGGACTTGGCAGTCTCTGAACAGGTAAGGGAAACCTGGTTTATTTCCAGTGGCCCCTTTAGGGGTTATCACTACATGTGGAGGCTTGTTCAAGATATCCTAGCTTGCTCATGCTGCCATTGCCCATAGCAACCAGCGGACGATTGTGGACCTTGCATTTGGTATTTGCTGTACTGATTAAATAGTGTTAGGGATCTACCCGATAATGTAATATACTGCTTTGATACTCTTCTTGCAAGAGAACCTGTCACTGCAAGGCGGACTTTGCCTGCGGCACCCTCAACTGCATGTAATTTTTATGTATTCTAACATCCTTCATTTATTCAAAACTTCATTTACCTTGTTAAGTACTGTTATTGTCTACCCTTTTTACCCCCACCTATCATCTGTAAAGCAGGATACTCTGTTTTACATTTATTTTTCCTGGCTGATGAAGACAAGACTAGTCTTTAAGGAAGGGTGGGGGGAGGAAGTAGACAGCCCTTGACTGACCTGGTGTTTGTCAGTGTGTTTTGGAACAGGTATCTGGGCCTGGCATCCTATGAACAGTTAAGGGAGACCCGGTTTATTTCCAGCAGCCCCTTTGGGGTTTTTTCTACATAGACATACACATATCTATACATTATACATGGTTTCACTTAACAGACAATCTAGGTCATATATTAACTGTTCATACACACTTTCTGCTTATGTATGAAGTGGTGTAGCAGTTTACACCAGCTGCAATATACCTACAGCAGTTGTACTGGAGCGGTAATAAACTTTTTTCTCTCTTTTTAAAATTCACCTGGTGAAAATCCATTAACATTCTTCCTGTCTAAAGCTGGCCATACACTGATCATAATTCAGGTAGTCCAGCAGGGACTATCCAAACTTCGATCAGTGTGAGAGCTTCTCCATTAGACAGAAGTCAATGGTTTAATTGCCTTCTGTTAAAGGAAAATGTTGGAACATTTTCCATTTGATCAGCAGCTTTAGCCACCGGTCTGTGAAATTTTTAAGCAGTGGCTGCACATAACATTCCTGAACATGTTATGCATTATTATTATTATTGAGAAATAAATGTTTAATATATATATATTTTTTGTACATGCAGATGTTAACATACCTTGATGGGCTCACCATGAGGAGACATTACTGTATCCGAGAGTTCCATCATTTTTAATGCCATCAATGCAACCTGAAAAGCATGTGTCTCACTTTCTTTGTGTAATCCTCCTGCCACACAGTAAGCATCCCCAATAGTTTCCACCTTGAAACAGAAAATGTAATTTAATAATGTTAATATCTGCTTAAAAGCTACTACCCAAAATCTATTTCATAAAAGTAGGGAGCAGAGCTCATTATCTCTACCAGCCAATCGATTCATTATATGTGATCATATAATTATATAATCATTATATATGATAAAACTGCATGTAAGTAAAAAGTGTTGAAGGGACAACCGAATTGCCCTGAGTTCCAGGGGGGGCGGTAGAAGGGTGACAAATTGATAGTGTTGACCTCCAACAGCAAAAACAAAGATGGCGTTAAGGAGGAAAAATGGGAATGTGCAAATAGCCATCCCTGATATCAATGGAGGCCAGAAGATCTCCATGAAGATTCCATGCAAAATGTTTAAACCTGCTGTAACAAATTGGCAATTTTCAGATACAGAATGGGTCAAATGCTTCCATTTGCCTTGGGAACGATGAACAGGTCCAAGTAGAACTCTCAAAGCATTCATTATGTAAGAAAAGGATAATGACCCTTTGAGAACGGAACTGATGAACAACAGCATAAGGAACCACCTGTCTTTGTGGAAAGGAAACAAAGAGGAGGGGAGCCCAAAATTCAAGGTTTTAGACCCTGGAAACGTGAATCTGGACCTAAACATCTGAATTTTTTTGGGACCAGAAGGCTAATAGACATTCCCTAGCTCTAACAAATGGGGACACTCCTTCATTGAGAAGAGGGCTTGGTGCCAGACCTGACAGGTTTGGATATTCATATCTTCTGATGAAAGTGTGTTCCAGACTTTGACTTGGAACTGGAGTCCTGAGAGGATGAAAATAACTTTTCTTATTCTCAGATATAGAAGGACTATCTGCAGGGACATGAGTCTTTTTCTTCATTGGGAAGAGGGCTTGGGGCCAGACTTGACAGGCTTGGATATCCATATCTTCTGATGAAAGTGTGTTCCAGACTTAGACTTGGAAAAGGAGTCCTGAGATGGATGAAAAGAACTCTTCCTATTCTCAGATATAGAAGGACTATCTTCAGGGACATGAGTCTTTTTCGGGGGAGGAAAGTACTCACACCCCCATAATCTTCTTAATGTACTTGTCTAAGGAAGGACCTTGAGGTGCTTTTTGCACGGGAGATTGCCTGACCACCATTTGAGCCAAAAGAACTTCAACAGAAGGATAAAGAGGAGTGTACCTCCCAGGCCATCACATAGCAATGTAATGCCACAGGTAAAATCTCCAGTGGTAGTTAATGGAGGGATCTGTTAAGATAGATCTAGGGTCTCTGGTCGTGCTTAGTCTAGACAGCAAGGGTCTGGCAGCCAGCCATGGAGGCAATCACAGATTGCATAGTGGGGCTCACCATAGAAAACTCTTGTCCATGGGTCCTTAAACACAGGATTATCTTACACAGAGACCATTAGTGTCTTGTTAAGACAAGAAACAATTATTGTCCATTTCAATAGGATATTGCTGGGCAAAAAGTTTATGAAAAGCAAAGAGCTTTCTAAGGTGAGGTCAGTCACCATAAAAAAACAGGCTCTAAAAGCAAGTGGACTGGGAAGATCTTAACAGGTTTGGCCAATTTTAGGAAACTCATGTTGGAGACCTTGGAGTGAGTTGACTTAGGCTGCACTATCACTAAACCAGAGTGTACCATGTCAGTAAACACAACAATGGTATCTTTTAGCTTTGATGAGATCTCAGCCAAATACATATTGTCCCAATGCAATTATTAGAATTGGAGGGGTGATCTTTCTTTTCTACCTTTATCTCAGGTTGCGAATCAGTTGCCAGAGCAAAGTCAGAGACTCATTCAGAAGGGGAGACTGAAGAGGGTCATTTTTAACCCTAGTGATCTAAGGCCTGCAAAGAGGTTGACGATCATACCTATACAATAATGGTGGCAGAAAACCTCTCTAGCTAGGTAGGAGGAAGTGTGTGCAGTTGAAGGGCCGGCGGAGTTCCCAGGGAGACACAGGGAATCAGAATGGGGGGTAGTTGTCAGAACATAGGGTACTAGGGGCCCTTGGAGACAGACTATCAAAGAAAAGGATGAAGCCTTCTGTACCAGGCACTGTAGAGTCAGTAAGCCACAGGCCAACTGAGAGTGCACTGGAGTGACAGAATCTGGAAAACAATATGGCAATTTTAAAAAAAGGCCAGTGCTCCTGCAACTAAGCTGCAGCATTGCATTTGACATGTCACAGCCTGTGCTCCACTACAGCCCAATGGATTTGGAGCACCAGCATACTGGGTCAGAGAAGGGTGCAAGCCCTGCAACTTGCGCAATATTTCTTATTGCACCAAGGTGAGCACCCACATAGAATCCAAAGCTGTAGATGATGTTACAGGCCAGCCGCGCATCTTCTCCAGATGGGGTCAGGGTATGGTCTGCCACAGTGCAGCCATGCAGTCAACAATCTGTGGCTATGGTGCAGTCAGGAAGCTTGATAAAAAAATCTTGAGAAAAAAACCCTCTGCATAAAAGACTTAAGCTTTTCTCAGTAGAGATAAGATGTTAGTTTTGGGTTGATGTAGCAGGGCAATTCATCTTCTGGCATCATATATTCTGTAGATAAAAGGCAAGATCGGTCACATGTTGCAGCAGTTAATGCAAGTGTCTTAAAGTAGAATTCCAGGACAACCCCCCTCTGTCCCTTCCCCCCTCCTAACACTTGTTCTGACTAACCTATGTAAGAAAGATCTGTATACTTACCTATTTATAGGCCGCTCCGGTCTGTTCACATGATCTCCCCTGTGTTAGTCAGAGCCGACTGCAGGGGAGAAAAGTGAGCATATGAAAACAGCTAGCAATGCCTGGCCCACAGGCTTAATGTGGACCATCCGTGGTTGGCGCTCCCTCCTCTCTCCTGCCTGCAGCTGCCACTGACACAGGGAAGTTGCATCAAGTGACTGGACTGGAGTAGCCTGAAAATAGGTAAACAGTAAACAGATATTTCTTACAAAGGTTAATCAGCATAGGTGTTAGGATGGGTGGAGAGAGCATTTTTAAGATAAGTTAGGTTTATACTGGAACTCTACTTTGGTTCTCCTGAATTCATTTTCATTTGTTTTACATTATATAGAATGTTCCAGGAGATGTCAAAGTTGAGTCTGTGATTATGTTCCCTATGTGCTCTAATTCTCAGGACAAGCTTTTAGGGGTCTAGCAATTTCTCCTAATTCGAGAAGCATTGGTACACAGATGTTTAATATACTCTTTTGGGCTTAACATTTTGCTAAATCTCTGTGTATTAGTACTGCTTGGACCTAAAAGAAGGTAGACATCTGAAAGCTTGTCCTGAAAAACTGAAAATAAAAATATATCACTGAGAGTACGTAACTATGTTGATGCAAGTGCAACATGACATCATTAAGCATCATGTAAAGAGGAAACAAAGCTGCCAACTCTAGAAAATAGATCCTGCCCTTGGAGTTCCCTAAATGAAGCCTTGCTATGTTCATAATTCCCCAGCCTTGTTTATATTGTGGCAAAGCCATGAGCATTTCAGTGGTCAGTCCCATCCCTCCAGAGGTTCAAGAATTAGGAAGCTCCCAACAAATAAGGGAAAAAGTAATGGGCTGCAAGGAAAATCAGATATAAAATAGATCACAGTGGAAAAGTGCAATGACGTTCACTGCAATTTATCCCAATGATTAATCAAGGGAGCAGAAATATGAAATGCAAAACTCACAGTTCAACTAGGTCAAGAAATGTAGATGATTAAATTATAATAAAATGTATCATGTATGCTACTGTACTGTTGGTTGAGGGAACACTTTGTGACTAATCAGTCATTATTTTGTACTAGAGTATTACACTGTTTTCTTTATAGTTAAAGATTGCCTTCACTTCATATGATTAACAGATATTCTGCTCATGTATTGAATGAACACTTTGTGATTATTCAGTCATTATTTTGTACTGAACCATAAGATTCCCTTAATTTTCTATTCTGATGACAGCAATCAGCAGGACAGAAAACAAGAGGAATTTCCCCAGGCTGAACTAGACAACAATAATAACTCAAGAAGACCTTACTTTTCCAGAAAACTAAAACATAAAATTATATCTGGAGTTACATTTAATCTCTACTGCTAATACGTCAGATTTATATATTATATGCCCGTATTTGGAAAAGACGTAACTCTGCAAATTCTTACAAAACCTTTGCACTGCTAACTAGAGATGAATAAGAGCCCACAGCTCCAGCAGTTGCCAATAACTGCTCATTATGATGAAAAAAAATTTAAGGAATCAACACCAGGTCTAAAATTCAAACAATACTATTACCTGCGCAAATGCCCTTACTTAAAAAAAAAAAAAAAAGAAAGCTAAGTCATATGGGTCTTCATCCTTCAAGTTTTGAACCTTGTGGGAAGGTCATGCAGAATTCAAGTTGATAGAAGCCTATTATATTTTATGAGTATCTGAGGTAGCAACTCCCCTAACAATCAGTCAAGAACAGCAGAACTCTGCTCAAAATATTGCTAAGCTTTACTGTGGAAGGTAATAAGCTGAGGGATGTAAATCAAAGTATAACCTCCTGCTGTAGTCATATAGAGAAAGGTTAACTCTGTCCTAAAGAAACTTTTGTTTTCCATCATAGAGGTATGGAATACCTAACAAAATGACAGAAATAGCTAGCAATAACCATGTGCATCCCTTTTAAAAAAGGCCATTTTGGTCACGCCTGCAACCTAAGTATTCATATGTTGTCAATTTAAAAATCCACCCCAAAATAGTTTATTTTAGTTTAATAATTATATCAATTGTATCTGTAAGTTCTGGGTTGCTAAATAACTGCAAAATTATACAATTAACTGATTACCCAAAACAGATATTTCAGACAGGTCTTTATTCAACCCTTGCAGAGTTATGATCACCTGAAAGCTAGGTTTTCTAACCAAGCTAGTGTCACTGAGCCTTGAATGCCCCATATATCCTTTTGGGGAAATCATAGGGTGTAGATTCACATGCTAAAAAAAAGCAGATTTTGTTAAAACCCAACATTGTCAGCCTGTTGTGAATATGCTGCCAGGGTAATGAGACCTTCCCCACCAGTATTTTAGATAGTAGTAAAAAACTCAGGCGATCTAACCTTCTCCCAATCTATGCCAGTGTTTCTCAACCTTTTTCCAGTCGGGGTGCCCTTGAAAAGTATTTTCAGTCACGAGGCACCCCTGTCCAAGGTTTGGTTCACGTTACTGTGTGTCACGGAACGCATGCAAAATGGTGCTCATTCCTGACGCGCAGACAAATGCTCTGCTCTTTAGGGGTACCCCATAAATTGGCAAACACAGGGTGTTTTTGGTGTGGTGTAATTTTAAAACTAAGGTCAGGGACCACTTTCCCTGCATTTCTGCGGGTAAGGCAGCCCCATGAAATGAATGGGCTGCCCTACACACAACCACACAGATGTGAACCAAGGGCCTGTCCACCTGTGAGGTTGGAGGGTGGTAAAACCACGCAATTGATCTGCTTTTATTACCCCCAACTGCTCCCCCTTTAGCCTCAGAAACAGCAGCTGGGGGTATACACATGCTGTTGCTGCAGCTGGAAGTATACCTCCAGGTGAATGGAGCTGAACTACAACCACCCCGCAATTGTGTGTGCATTGCACACAGTTGTGGTGTAGTGATTGATGCTGGGGTAAACCAGGTGGTGAGGAGGCAACATATTGCCACTTTACCACCTGTCAAAAGCCTCTGAAAAGCAATCTGATCATGGATTGCTTTTCAGAGGAGCAGCAGTCCTTGCTGCTATTACGAACAAGTCCTAAAAAAAAAAGCAGTTCTGATAGGACAGGAATAGGGGGTCGAGATTAAATGTAAAATACATATACACACATATAAAAACAAACACACACATACAAACACATGTACACACACAAACACACACGTACATATACACACACATATGTACACACACATATGTACACACATGTACGTATACACACACACATACACATGTACAGACACATATATACACACACTTGTACACATACATACACACACACGCACATATATACACATGTACACACACACGCACACTCGTACACACACACAGGTACATGTATACAACTTTATGAAAAGTTACAGTACCTTAGCTTCCATCACACAGCCGGGTACTGCACTTTAGGGGGAAACAGAGAGCACAGAAGACACTCCCCTTCCCTTTGCTTTCACTTTGCTTAGCGGTCTGACGGCTCCCAGTGCCGATGTACAGTGCGGCTGGGGATTGGGAGCTCAGGCTCAATGGACAGCCATTCTCCCCACGGCACCCCTGAAGACCTCTGGCAGCACTCTGGGGTGCCGCGGCACCCCAGTTGAAAAGGGCTGATTTAAGCAGACATAATTAGCTCTTTAATGTTCTCCATATTATGAAACATATAAGTGTATGTAAACCCTAAAACTATTTCTCAGTATTTTTGAAATCATGCCCCACTGTATACAGTTTTATTAAAGGATAAGTTCACCTTTTAACAAAAAATAATAAATGCACATTCTTTTGCAGGTAAAAAAAATGTGCATTTACTAATCTTTGTTTTGGGAGCCCGTAAAACATTGTACCAGTGATCAGTACATCTGCTGCAATGCAGGACTCCTGCAGACCTGTCAGTGTATCTGTGTGCCCGCACATCATATTGGGCAAGCAGATGCACACTGACAGGAAGAATCACAGAACTACTACAGCTCTCCACAGCGCCGTGGTAGTTCATTGAGAACTACAAACCAACAGCCGCAAAAGCTGTCAGAACTTGTCATATTCTTTCACAGAATACTGTGAATTAGTGATGGGCTGGGCAGACGGAGCCCTCACAGCCACATTTTTAAAAAATTGTTACAGCTAGCGGAGGGAGAAGATCCCCCGCTAGCTGTAAAAACATTTGATGGGGGGGAGCGGGAGCTGTTCCTTTCATTGTATGTTACATCCTGAATATGGGTGTAACATGTTATATAAGGTGAACGTATTCTTTAAGCAAATTGTTTTCCTGTGGATATGTTGCAAATGTTTCAGCTCAGCTTGCAGTGTGTGCTCATCAAGTATCAAGTAGCTTGCATAGAAGGGTGACAACGCTGCTGAAGATTGCAAGGCAGTGGCTTAGTGTTGTCAGCCTGTAACAGGAAGTGCTGGTACTGGCAGGATCTCCTTGCAACAGTTTGCATAAATTTGACTTGCTTTAAAAGACTGTATACAGTAAAAGCATAATTATATACACTGGAAAAAAGATTTTGGGTTTACATATACAACAACAAAACAACATGGATTAGAAATTGCTTTCTACATACACTACATCTCTCTAAACCAAAGGCTCTCACATCCCTGTAAATGGCAACAGAATTCTGTATTATATCTTATTATAGTAGTGCTTACTCCTTTAGTGATTATGTACACATTCTCTATTACTGAAATAACACAAAACAAAAGCTTTTGCTTATTAGCACCAGAACACAGATCTATAAAGTTGTATCTTGTGTTATTAGAAGCTAAAATAGGCATACCTTGTACACATCCAGTTCTCCACACTGGAAATCAAAAAGTGTATATAGTTCGTTAAGCATGGTAATAACTTGCATGGGTGAGCAATGAGAACATATTGCAGTGAAGCCTACAATGTCAGAAAAAAGCATTGTCACATTGCTAAATTTCTTGGCTTGCACAGTTTGCCCTTGCCACAACTGCTGGGCAACTTCACCAGGAAAGATAGAGAATAGAAGGTCAACAGTTTTCTTCTTCTCTTCCTCCAAAGCCTGATGAGCAAGTTCAAGTGTAGCTTTCAGCTTCCCCAACCGCTTCTTCAGCCCATCTTGTGCTCTGGCTTGCTCTCCAATCAGCACAACATCCCTCAACGCATTATGGATGGGAATGTCTGAAAGGTAAAGACCACGTCCTGTAAAATCCTCTAGCCGATCCACACATGGTGACCCCAGGAATAAAATGGCGCTGGATTCAAAAACATAGATCATCTGGCCTTTCAAATTCATTGTCTGTAAATAAAAGACAAGAAAGTTGTGAACAATGTGTCACCAGCAATAGATGTCCCAGCTTTTCTAACCTTCATAAATTAAGGGTTCTTTTTCCTGATAAAACTGAATACCTGCAGAAGATGATTGTTTTTATCTACTGTCAAAATTACACATATGGGAATCTTTCCCATTTTGCATCAGAATACAGTGAGACATAGAATGAAACAGTTTATCTCTGCTAGCAAAACAAGATTTTTATGTGAAACATAAAAAAGACTGGGTTATATTTTTAGATCAACCCGAATGTACAAAACATGAAAAGAAAAGCCCACTGCTCTTGTTAACTTTTCTGTTTGTATCTTTTTGTGAATTATATATTTACGTTTCCTTAATATTTACATTAATTCTGTAGGTCATGATGAAAACTTGTGTCTTACGTGGGATACGATTTACACCAAAATGACCTTAAAGCCTACGGTTATCTATAAATAAAATAAAAAAAATAAATAAACAAGGGGCATTACTTACCTTCAGTAGGATGCGTCCCTTGTGCTGCCATGTCCTCCTTTAGATGAAATATTTCCCCTTCAATGTCTTCTCCACCCCTGCTGTCACAACCTTCTGGTGCAGCTTAGAAGCTGTCACAGGATCTCATCAAGAGAACCTGACTATACCTGAGATCTGCCATTCATAGAAGCCGTACTACAGCGTCTATGAATGAAACAGGATTTAAGAATGGAGAATGTGTGGATGATTGATAGCAACGCCCCCTCCATTCATAGATCACATTTCATTTATAGAAGTTGTAGTATGGCATCTATGAATGGCAGATCTTAGCGAAAAGGGCTGACTAAACTGTAAACAAAGAAAAACCGACTTGTCCTTTTATTGGAACTGCCTGGGAACAGTCACAATGCAACTGGTATGAACAGACCCTAAGAATATTTTTGGCAATTACAGAAAAATATGCATTAATCTTTCGAAAGATGTAATTTCCTTGTCACTTAACTGCGAGCCGAACTGAAAGCAAAAACAATGTTATTCCTTCTGTGAACTATTATTATCACCACTACCTATGCAATGGAAACAGAAAAAGGCACAAAAGTTTGTACCCCAGTCTGGGTGGTAAGCATGGCTCCCTCTAAAGATACAGTGGAGGAATAAACATTGACACTAAGGGATAAGTGTGTTATTTGCAACATGACCAGGTGAAAATGAAGGGAAAAAACTTGAAAAATGAAAACAAATGCAGTCATCACATCTAAGGACTGGTAAGGTGCAATATATACATTTGTTTTCAGTTTGGATACATTTTAAATGAAATTTCAGTCCAACTCTCAGAGTTTTGCTTCTTCACTTAGAAAGTCTAGCTTTCTTCCTTTCACCACAACAATATCAACACTTTGTACTGTGTGTTTCTTTTTTTTTAACGTGCCTTTTGAATTGTGTGTTATATTTAGAAATAGACTTATTTTGATTTAAGAAGAAGAATATAGGACAGTAGACCATACTTCTACAATACATAAAATATCGTAAACACTCTATGTAAATTATATATTACAGGCAGTTGGAGTTCCAGTTAAATTGGTAGGACTAGTTGACATGCGACTTAATGTTACCCATGGCAATCCTCTTGTAAGCTCATTTGTGCTCGTTGTCTTCTATTACACTATTTTAGCAATCCCCGAATAGCAGCTGTAAAAATTCTGGAGAACAGATATTTTCAAGTAAAGTTGGTTTTGCAAAGTCTCCATGGATATAATGAAATCATCCTTCCTTTCATATTTTTTAGTGGCTTAAATAAGAAGATAGAAAACATAATATTAAATAATCCCACTCAATAGAGAAAGCAGGGTTGAAGGAAGCCAAAGTGAAATTAAAGTGGCTTTTACACTGAGTTTTCACAGCTGCTATCTAGGGATTGCTTGGGAGCGAAACAATAGGAAAAGGGAACAAAGAGCTTAAAAGCCTCTATGCACCGGTACTGTTAAATGAGATAGCAGAAGAAATGGCATGTGTCACTTTAAAAGCAACATCACCACTTAAAGAGTTCTAAACAAATCTCCTTTAAAAGCCAGCAGCATTATTCTAAACACAACATATATGTCCTAATGAGCATAATGCCATCAATGATACATTTAGAATCTCCATACACCATGATGATCTCTGCTTCACTAAAACACAGTAGTTATAGAGAAAGATATGGCTCTGTAGAGGTCTTTCCTCTCTGTGAGTCGGAGAAATACACACAACAAACAGTATTACAGGACAGCTACAAAACAGCAGCCTGGGCACTCATGCCTATGAGCCCTAATAGACTGTGATCACTATTGTTGTCCTCCCAAGTCAAACAAATATGTAGTTGAATAAATATTATAAAACAAAGAAATGCAGGAAAAAGCGAAGTCTGGAGCTTTTTACAGAAAGGTGAAACTAACAATTAATTTTTCATTTTTTTTTGTTCCTTTCACTTTTTATGGGACAAGATTTGTGACATCAACTAAAAGTTAAATACTCTGTTGGGTTAACTTTTATATGGGCAAGTGCCGGGATTACACGTGCAAACATTTCCAGTCCTGTACAAATAGCTTAACCATATAAAGGAATAAACAGTGCTCCAGCACAGTTAATTATGTGATACGCGGTGTCATCAGGTGCCATACTATATACTATCTTAACATGTCAGAAGAAATGCCATGAGCCGCATAGCAATGATTTCTACTTAGAGCGAGAAAATGTCCCTTCTCTAGGGAATATACGACCTGTCAAACTGGCAATACAAATCTCAGATGTACAAAATATTCATTTTCAGGTATGAGAAATATTTCCATATTCTGACTACTATTCTTGGGGAATGTCATTTCCTAAGCCTTTTTAATAACGACTATACCACCCAAGAAAAAAAATCTACATACATTTTAATAAGCTATGTCAGAAAGAAAATCACCTTCTAACTTACTAAGAGAAATTGTCACATTTCATTAAGATCTTTGTGTATATCAAACCTAATGAGGTGATGAGTTACGCTTTCAATAATAAGCATAGAAATGAAGCATGAAATTCAGCTCAGCCATATTACTTTTGCATAAAATTAAGGAGTAATTTTGTCACCCCAATTTTCACATCTGCACTTTATTAACTGCATAATCCAAGCATTGGGACCAATGTCTGTGCCACTATTTTTAGTTAGCTAGAACCAATTCTAATCATTTAATTAACTTAATAATGACAACTTTAAAGCTGTAGATGTATTAAGAAAACCCCAACAGAGAGCTATTCATGATATGGAAAATGAAACATAAATATAATAAAGGAAAGCAACATTTTAAAAGTGGATTATTGATATATTTCAGCATTCTACAAAATGATTTCCCTTAAAACTGAATTATGAAAATGCTTTACTGAATGTACCAGCAAGATGTACCAGCTAAACTTGTTATTTTATACAGGAATGATCAAATGTGTGAGCCAATGGATTTTTAGCTAATTTAGGGCTCCTGCTGAGTGCACGCAATATATCCTATTTAATGATGGTATGGAAAGATTTTACTTCTCTTCTTAGTGTTGTGGGTAACTTGCTTTACTGAAATGATTAGTAAAAACATGGCTAAAACATTTTGGGGTTGATTTACTAAAACTGAAGAGTACAAAATCTGGAGTGATGTCAGCCTATAGCGGACTTTAGCATCCACAGAATTACAGCCAAACAAGCTTTCGTTGTACTTCTCCTTTAATTGAACAACCTGAAGTTAGAAGCTGATTGGCTATCATGCACAACTGCACCAATTTTTGCACTCTCCAGTTTTAGTAAATCAACCCCTTTGTGTACCTATTTTTTTCCCAGCAGGAGCAAATTGGATCATGCTTTGCTGTTTGTTTGCCTTCCTCTGGATCAACTGTGGGTATAGGATTATAACTTTTTTTTTTTTTTTTAATGGTTGAACTGGATGGACACTTTTCTTTTTTCAGCCAGACTAACTATTAGGCTACATTCAGATGGATGTTGGGGACAGTGAATAGTTTGCTGTGTTCAGAGGAGGCTAGACGCCGCCTCTGGATGCAGCTGAACTCTGTGCTCTGACCATTTGGAAACACGGGCACTGCCGAGGGCCCGGGGTCAGTGGGGGGCCCCATGAGATGCCCCTGGTACCTTTTTCATAGGCTTTTTTGAGTTTGGGCAAGGACACAGGGGCCCTAATGCCCGGGGGCCCCATGAGTTGTCAGTCCGCCCCTGGCTCTGGCTATATACAAACTGGCCAATTAGATGCAGCCAGTTTGAGTGCTGCAAGAAACTCAGCAGAAACATTGCCCCTGGATACACATTTCTGAGTCCAGGGTTGGTAGTAAGCTCTGACGAGTGGTTACATGTGAACAGAGTCGGTGTTGGTCATTGATCTGTACAGAGTATGAATCAATGTGAGCAAGCAGCGTACAGAACTGTCGGCAAGAATCTACGGATTCTCGCCGGTGGGTGCCCCTGGCCACCAGTCTGCACCCGTGTGAATATAGCCTTAGACAGATTCTATCAAGTGTCCATGGGAATTACAAAACAGGCATTTGTGCGCATGCATTCCCTACTAGCTGATGACTAACAGTGGTACTAAAGGCACAACGAAAAATACCATATATGATGCAGTCTGTAAGTAGCATTAAAGTGTCATTAAACTCACATTATTACAAACTGTCAGTTCATCTGTATTACATGCTGTTCATACACACTCAATCACTATGGGATTCATTTTCTGCTTTCAGCAAAAAAAAACTGGTAGACCCTGCTGTTCACTGACCTACCCTCCTTGTCTGTGTCCCCACTGATATTGTGTAGACTAGCGATTGCCACATCTACTGAGCATGCTCCAGTTTCAGTTCCCTTGTAAGCTGTTAATTTCCTCCTTTTTTCTATCTGTTCAGTCCACATGTCTACAGCGTCCAACATGTGAGAAGTGACGTCATCCTCAGCCATTCAAGCTGCCAGAGCCAGTAAACCCGGAAGAGAGACCGAGAGAAAATGGAAGCCCGGT